GTTTAGGGTTTTCAGGTGTTTAGTTTAGGGGTTTAGGGTTTTAGGGTTTAGGGGTTTAGGGTTTAGGGGTTTAGGGTTCAGGGTTTTGGGGTTAAGCCTTTGGGGCTTTGGGTTCAGAGGTTCAGTGCGTTCGGCTTTGGGGTTCACGGGTTTAAGTAGGATCACGCTGCAAAGGTCTTTGGCGCTGAGGGTTTCGGGGTTTAGGGTTTAGGGTTTTGGTGCTGTAAGGCTTTGGGGTTTAGGGCGCTGGGCTAAGGGTTTACGGGCTTAGGGCTTCAGGGCTTCGGGGCAGTAGGGCTTTAGGATCTTAGTAGGGTCTTGTGTCGGGGTTCGTTAGGTTTATGTAGCTGTGTAAGGTTTTAAAGGGCTTTTGGGCTTTGAATCAGTTGTCACGCACTTTTCGAACATAGGGATAGTAGCAAAACAGACAGACTTCGGGTTCTGGTGCAGGGTGTAACAGGTTTGGGACTGGGGGTTTCAGGTTTAGAACATGTGGGGTTTACGGCTTTGTGTTTTGAGTTGCCTGGGTGGAGGCTTCGACTCTTTAGGGTGTAATATGGCGGTCGGACTGATTAGTTAATCAGAGTACCCCCCTGAGAGTCTCCGATATAGGTATATGTAGTATAATATCCCCCAACACTCTGCTGTCATCGTTAAGTTTCGGATCAGGCAAAGCCTCCAAGTGGCTCGGGACGGGACCTGGGAAAGGGATCCAGGTGCAAAAGTTGCCTGATCCCAGGATTGCGAAATGGCGCCCTCCAGCGGCGGTGTGTGCTGCTTCGCCAAGACGATGAAAAGACGACTAACAGCTGTGGAGGCTGCAATTTCCCAAAATCGCGACGGGTCTCCCTTACGAGCCGCTGTGACAAGGACTTGGTATACGGCCTGGGGTGGTCGTGTGCCGTTTGCATCCGCCTCTGAGTGGGTTCAGGCGGATGTTGGTTTCAAGGCACGGCTCCATGAGACCCTTTGGGGGGCACAAGTTTGGCGCTGTATCTCCCGCCACTGACAGCTATTGTGACTTGGGTTGTTGTCAAAATTATGGTCCCTTTTTGGGTCCTTATTGTAGGAGGCACCTAATATTTAGGGTACCCAAAAAGGGGCCATAATTTTGATAACCACCTACTTGACTCCTGGGAGCAGCGGGGGCACCGGCTGCATTTCAGGTCCAAGGCTCGGTCAGGTCTGGCCGAGAGGACGCAGTATATCCAGCCGAGGACCCGCTTGCGATGATGTTGATTGCTGTTGTGTATGTATCTGTATTTGTATATGTTTGTATGTACGTATGCATATATATATATATATACATATATATATATAATAGAATAGAATAGAATAGAATAGAATAGAATAGAATAGAATAGAATAGAATAGAATAGAATAGAATAGAATAAAAGAGAATAGAATAGAATAGAACAGAACAGAATATAATATAATATAAAATAAGATAATACAATATATTATAATATAATGATTATATTAGGTTATATTAGATTATATTAAATTATATTAGATTATATTAGATTATATTAGATTATATTAGATTATTAGACTATATTATATCATATCATATTATATTATATTATGTTATATTATATTAGATTATATTACATTATATTATATTATATTATACTATATTAGATTATAGTACATTATATTATACTATATTATTATATTTATTATATATATTAGATTTTTACATTACAATTTATATTATATTATACTATATTAGATTATAGTACATTATATTATACTATATTATATTATATTATATTATATTAGATTACATTACATTACATTATATTATATCATATTATACTATATTATATTAAGTTATATTATATTATATTATATTATATTATATATTATATAATATATATTATATATTATATTATATTATATCATATTATATTATATTTTATTATATTATATTATATCATATTATATTATATTATATTATACTATAGTATATTGTATTATTTTATATTATATTATACTATACTATACTATACTATATTATATTATATCATATTATATTATTCTATATATATATGCATGTATGTATGCATGTATGTGTTTATTTATGTATGTATTTTTGTATGTCTGTATGTATGTGTGTATGTATGTATGTATGTATGAATGTACGTGTATGTTTGTATGTATGTATGTATGCATGTATGTATGTATGTATGTATGTATATGTATGCCTGTATATGTATGCCTGTGTATGTATGTATATGTATGTATGTATATGTATGTATGTGTGTATGTATGTATGTATATACGTATGTATGTATGTATATACGTATGTATGTATGTATATACGTATGTATGTATGTATGTATGTACGCATGCACGTACATGTATGCATGCATGCATGTATGTATGTGTGTATATGTATGTATGTATGTATGCACGCATGCACGTATATGTAGCATGCATGCATGTATGGATGTATGTATGTATGTGCGTATATGTATGTATGTGTGTATGTACGTATTTATATGTATGTATATGTATGTATGTATATTTATGTATATGTATGTATGTATGTATGTATGTATGTATGTATGTATGTATGTATGTATGTATGTATGTAATTATATATGTATATATGTATGTGCGTCCGTGTGTATGTTTGTGTATACAGGAGTGTGTGTATATATGTATATATATATGTGTGAGGCAACACCGGTACACCACACACACACACACACACACACACACATCATGTACACACCAAATAAACATTCACGTGCCAGCTGTGAAAGTTTGGACACTGAAGCTTACAGTACAGGCCGCAAACCCTCGACACTGAAACCCGAAACCTTCCAAGCCCTACAAGCGCTAAACCCAATAATCCGTCCGAACCCAGAAGCCAACACAATTAACCCTTTAACAAAATCCTAAGCCGCAACCTCGAGAAAACTTATATATCTCGAACAATAAATCCTACACCCTAAACCCTAAACCCGACAGTGTGCTGTCTGAGGCTGTAGGCTGCCCGGACCCGCCCGCAGTGCCGTCGGCATCTGTTTCCGCTTGACGGGAAGCCCAGTGGGTTTTTGCAAGAAGCGTTAGGGGTGAGGATGCGCTCTCTAACATTCTGCAGGACTCAACAGGTATTTGGTTTTAGGATAGTAAGTAGTGATGTAGGTTGTTATGTTTTGGAGAGTATATACTTATTAGCTACTTGAGGTTTGCGGGATCTGCAAGGCCTGCAGGGTTTCAGGGCTTATCGGGTTTACTGTTTAAGGTTAGGGCTCATTGGGTTTAGGGTTTAGGGTTATGACTTTAAGCTCTGGGTTTTGATACCTTGACAGATCTAAGGTGTGCTGTGATTGGGGTTTCAGTAGGATGCAGGGGTGTGTGGTCTAGGGCTCTGCAGCCAGCAAACGGTTTTGAGGGCATGCTTTAGCGGTAAACTTCGTTGCGACTGCTGAACCGAAGGGGCTTTCGTGTATTTTTGATTTAGGCTTTAGGGTGAACCTCAGTCATGTGATTCCGCAAACTACTCCTCAACTCAAGTACAGGGGAGATCCTCCACCCTAAACCCTAAACCCAAACCCGAAACCCTAAATCCTATAGGGTTTATGAACCCTAAATTTGGTTTTAAACTTAAACCCCTCGATCCCAGGCTGGCATCCGAGGGAGCTTGTGGGGCAGGGTGTTCGGGTTGAGGATGTCCACACCCTGAACCCTTAAACCTAAACACAAAACCCTAAATCTCCCTAAACCCTAGATCTCCCTAAACCCTAGATCTCCCTAAACCCTAGATCTCCCTAAGCCTAGATCTCCCTAAACCCTAAATCTCCCTAAACCCTAGATCTCCCTAAGCCTAGAACTCCCTAAACCCTAAATCTCCCTAAACCCTAGATCTCCCTAAACCCTAAATCTCCCTAAACCCTAGATCTCCCTAAACCCTAGATCTCCCTAAACCCTAGATCTCCCTAAACCCTAGATCTCCCTAAACCCTAAATCTCCCTAAACCCTAGATCTCCCTAAACCCGAAATCTCCCTAAACCCTAAATCTCCCTAAACCCTAGATTGCCCTAAACCCTAAATCTCCCTAAGCCTAGATCTGCGTAGACCCTAGATCTCCATAAACCCTAAATCTAAACACAAAGCCCATTTCCAAATTTAGCGCAGATGGCCTTTGCTTGGATGTGCGGGTTGCAGTGAAAAGGTTCGTATAGTTGTGTCCACATCTAACCTTCAACTGGCGCAGCTTTGCCGGGAGTTTCAGAATATGAAGTGCTGTACTACAGGCTATACCTGGATCCCTCATGAGGACCCTCCAAATGGGACCTCTTGTTGTATCAAGCCCACATCATGCAACTTGCATTGCATGTGTTCACCGATGGCATGAGCTTTTCAGGCTTTTCGGGAGTTCGGGCTGAGGTTCGCAGGTACTTCTAGGGGCCTAAATGGGGTCCAGGGTTCCTTATTATAAATATAGTACTTGTATTATCAAGGCCTCTACCTTCTGCATCGCTTCCTTGCATGTTTGTTTGGCATCTTGGGGGTTCAGCGGTCTCTGCAACACTACCGCAAGGAATCCAAATGCGACCTCAGCTTCGGCTTCCGGAGGGAAATGCCAGATCTCAGGTGTGGGATCTTGACAGTGTCTCAGTTTCCAACATCCTTCTAAATCTTCCTAACGTATTAGGCAATCGCGCAATTAGTCTACAGCCCATCTACAAGCCATGAAACACGGTTGCGTTGTGCTTTTTACAAAAGGCATTCCACATTTGCTCTGACACAGACTTCTCGGTGGTCCGTCAGGAGTTCCTGGTATTGCCAGCTACCTCATCTCCTCAGAATTTACGACCTAGTCTTCGTAGAAGCATTCAGTGGGCCACTAGTGGGCATGTGAGCGCGATCTGATATTACAGATTTGCAACCAAACAACAGGTGCTAAGAGACATAGGTTCGGGATTTGTTGATGCAAGCTCGTTCGACTGCTGTTCAGTGAAGGGTTGATTGTTCGTTCGCCGAGCATGCTGTATCCGGTAGCAGCTTGCAGCATGCCTCGGACATGCTTCGCATATGTTGGTCAGTGAGCACGTTTTCCACCCATCTTCTACACTGATCGAAGCACTAGCTAAACGATGGACTCAATGGTTGAAGATGTAAATACTGTGATATTTCCAGTTGGTTGTTCATGTGCAGGCATCACGCATTCTCGATGCGCGTGCAGAAAAGGCAGGCTTCACACGGCTGCTGCATCATGTTGTCATCGTCGTGGGGTCATGTTATTTGCCTGTCCGGTTTGGTTTTTTGTTTAAGGCGCACACTGCCGCCAAAAATTCAGCCGGGCATGGTCGACAAGTTACCTTCCGGCAGGCAGCGGGAAAGCCAACATAGCTGCTTTCGATACCACACGGCTGTGTGAATGATGAATTGTTCCGGACAGGACACCTTCTACAGTCCGCATGGCGCAAAGCTTGCTAGCATATACGCGGATTTATCGTGTTCGCTGCAAGCATCGTGCAGCAGAACAAGGCGTTTGTGTGTGTGTGTGTGTGTGTGTGTGTTTGTGCGCAATATTGATGTGAGGTCGTTCCGACAACTTGCTCTTTCAGGACAATGCACCGGAAAAGGGCTGAGAGGTCGGGTAGCATGAATCAGTTCATTTTGCTGAGGGCAAATGGGGGTCAATGGCCTACGTTTTAGGCCAATTTTCGTGAACACTTAGTGCAGACATGAGGTTCGGGCGCCGGTGAAAAGTTGTTTAGTCCCAGACCGGCGGAGGCTTAATGTGGGTTCGGACATTAACGGCACGTCGAGGCATCGGGTTTCGTTGCTCTTGCAGGACAAGTTTGGTTTCCCAAGTTTGCAGCCAGAAACCGAAAACCGCCCCAGTGCTGTTAGGTGTCTGACTTGCGAGTTTATTGGTTTGGGGGATATGGGGTCGCCCTGCGATCGTGGAGAAAGAGATCAAGCCACCCGTCCTGAACAAACACCGTGAACTGGACTCGGAGCTTGTCGGCCGACGGCCGCAAATTACCCAGAGGCCCCAACGGTTGAAGAGGAACCATGTTTCCCACCGTTCAGAAAACCACCCATCTTAGAACTGCAATCCTGTAGTTCCGTTTCAGATTCAAGGCGCAGCAGGGCCGTGATGATTTTTGAGCCCTAACGTTGGAGACTTGTAGCATTTTGGTTTGACTTATGAACTTCTTATCGCATCCTATCCGGTACATATGTTATCCACAAGAGTTTCTACACGCTGAATTGTAGATACATTGTGCACAACCTTCAGAACGCCAGATGCCGCGCAGTGTAAGATCGCAGAACTGCAGTTCCAAAAAAAACAAACCCATCCGTAAAACTTTTTAATTTACAAGTCCGTGTGCAAACTTTACTAAACCTGCGTCCACGACTTTAGATCTTGAACTGACGTCGCAATATACCCCAAATCCCAACTAAAAAGTGTTAAACCCGAAAATCCTACAGCCTAAACTTTGTCTAGTCAGGAGTGCCGCGTGGCTTGCAAGGAGGGCTTCGGCACTCTGGAGACGTCCATGCGCTGCGCCGGTGCCTCAGCTAATATTTCAGCCGGAAAATTAGGAATGCTATTTTTGAGGTTCCGGTTCGTTGTGATATAAGTATGCTATCATATACCCCATAGCCCTATTCTAATGACTAAGCTTCTACATTACTCTAAGGCCTGACCCATTCACCCCTCTCCCGGTCAAGGTCATCAAGATCGCATTGCTTCCCACATGCCGGATATTCCACCCGTGCCTACGATGCCCTTTCCCAAGCCCTTCTGACTGAAAGCCGCACGCGCAGCTTTGTCGGGATTTGTATCAATCGTGAGTACAAAAAGTAAACTTCTGGCGATGGCCAGAACGTGCTGCCTTTCCTCGTGGGGCGGTTGCTGCCACACGGAAGCCTCATTTGGGTGCTTGCGTTTATCTAGTTGGAAATAGGGGGAGATGCAGCCAAACTGCCTTGAAGCATGGGAGCTTAATGATCCTTGGCCAACAGTACGGTCTCAGGGTTCCGTTCAGCGTTTGGGGTTCTGGTTTAGGGTGGAATATGTCGGCAAACATGCACTTGTAGTTCGGGGTACCTTTTTCAGATAATCCTTAGACCCATCACTCATCACTGATTCGGTCTAGTTCACGAGATAGGGAACATCCTCCCCCATACACCCTAAACCTTAAAACCCTAAACTCCCAAACCCTAAAACCTAATCCCCTAAACCCTAAAACCTATAGCTACACTCAACCATAAACGCCTAATTGCCAGGCAGAGTTCTGGGTACGAGGGAAGTCGGGGTAACATAGAAGCTTGAATGCCTACAAATACTATTCCTAGTAGAATTCCTTATCATATAGGTATAGTAGACTGTATCCCAAACGCATATTCAGGTTAGATCACCTTTGTTAATCGGGAAGTGCCCAGATCTGAATCAAAGAAGGCACCTGAACCCCAAAACGCGGAACTCTAAACCCTTAGCCTTAACCCGGAATCCCTGAATATGGATGCCTGGCTAATTTGCCAATGCAATTTCTTAGGGTTTCTGGTTTAGTATACCCCAAACCTTCATCCGATTTTTTTGGGGCAAGCATTAGCCCCCCTAAACCCTAAACCCTAAACCCTAAACCAACCGAGGTGAACGGCGCATGGTTCGTGCCGCAGTGTTGGCCGCTAGGACCGGCCAGGGATTAAATTCGGAGGTTCTGCGCAAAACGGGGCTGAGGGTTTTATAGGGTTTAGGGGTTTAGGGTTTAGGGTTTAGGGGTTTAGGGTTTAGGGTTTAGGGTTGAGTCTTTAATTAGAGTTTAAGGTTAGGGTCAGGGCCAGGTTTTGACCTGGAGGCATCCAAAACAGCAGAATCCTAAGCCCTTGACCCAAAGCCCTCACCGAACCTCGCACCGCGAAACCCTGAATCCCGACGAGTTCAAATCCTAAACTGTAAACTGAGAGCCTCAACCCTGAGCCCTAAACCCTAAACTAGACCCTAAACCCCACCCCGTGGATTCATGCCGTGAGGAAAGAGGCCTCCCAAAAAAAGCCTTAAACCCCAAACTCGAAGCCCGAAGCCCTAAGCCCTGAACCTTAAACCCCCAAAAACTCCAAGCCTAGAAGGCGGGATTCGGGCTCGGAGCTCTGCTCACCTTCGGGTTAAGATGGCTAGGCCCTGTAAGGTTTACGGCTCAGGGCCAAGGGCCTTGGGGTTTAGAGTTTCAAGGATTGGGGTTTATGGCTTTGGGTTCAGGGTTTAAGGTTTAGTATTGGGGCCTTGATGTTGACGATCAAACTGGGCCCCGAAATAGGACCCTGAAAGAGTGGAGGGTGCCAGCGAAGGTCCCGTGAAAACCTTGGGGAGTATTTGCTTTGCCACTACGGTTGATGAAATAATTCCTGCATTACCCCTCCTAAGGAATATGCCATAATTTCCATAGTTTAGGGTCCTTGAGGTAATGCAGGGTATATATATATATATATATATGCTAGCCCCCCCCCCCCCCCCCCCCCCTGAATTCCCTAAATTCCCTAATTCCCTACCCATTGGATTTAGGTATTTCCCTAAATTCCCTAAATTCCCTAATTCCCTACCCCATGTGTTGGATTTGGGGAATTCCCTATTTCCCTAAATTCCCTAAATTCCCTAAATTCCCTAAATTCCCTAAATTCCTTAAATTCCTTAAATTCCCTAAATTCCCTAAATTCCCTAAATTCCCTAAGTCTGACCCCCATGGAGAAGATTCAATGGTTTCCGTTCATGGGTAGGGAATTTAGGGAATTTAGGGAATTTAGGGAATTTAAGGAATTTAGGGAATTTAGGGAATTTAGGGAATTTAGGGAATTTAAGGAATTTAAGGATTTAGGGAATTTAAGGAATTTAAGGAATTTAGGGAATTTAGGGAATTTTGGGAATTCCCCAAATCCAACACATGCGGTAGGGAATTAGGGAATTTAGGGAAATTAGGGAATTTAGGGAATTTAGGGAATTCCCTAAATCCAACACATGGTCCGGGCTGGGAGTCAGGAATGTTAGGGAATGCGCTAAAACCAACACATGGGGCTGGAAATTAGGGTATGTAAAGACTTTAGGGATTTAGGGAGTCTGCAGGAACTCACGCATTCTGTAAATTCGAGGCATGGAAGCAGTGATTAGAGAATTTAGGGAACTCGACCTCGCGACGTCGCCGGTTGACGTGTCTGTGCAACTGATACTTGTAGTAATATTGATATTATTTTGAAAACTTTGAAAACTATAATACTCATACGAGTACTAATACTTATAGTAATACTACTGGTGAAACTGATAGTATGCTAGTATGAATACTGATGTTCCCAAGAATACTTGAAATCATGTACATTGTATGAATAGTCTTGATGCGAATACTAATATACATACTATAGCTAGTATTATCGCTAGTATGAATATTGGCTATGCATATTCGTGAAATTACTCATTTTTGGAGTACTCATATTCATGCTAATATTAGCACTAAGGCTAGTGCGAACGTGCATAATAACATGCTCATACATGAATGTTAGCATTCGTATTAATATCAGCATTGGTATGTTTTTCAGTAGTACTACTAACTCATACGAAGAGTAACCTCAAGTTTCATATTCCGACGAATACCAACGCATGTTTTGTTCATACTAATTTGAATTCTACTACTAGTATCTACTCCTAATATTGAAAAAACTGTACTAATACCAATTTTAGAATTGATGTGAACACGAACTTTAATGTTCTTGCCAATGCTTTTATGCATAGTAATATTTGTTACCATTAATGTATAGGAAAACTAATGTTCTTACGAATACTAATAATCATGTTCCCCTTTTATATTCATATAAGAATCGTCATGCCTAGATACGTACTAATGCTAGTACTCATGCTTATACGAGTATCAATACCAATACAAGCATAGGTATGAATATTCCTACGGGTATTTATGCTCATGTTCTTAACAAAATTGTTCTCAGTACGAATACCGACATTAATAGTCTCGTTAGAACCATATTGATATTAATATGACAACTAATACTTCGGCTAGTACGAACATGCATAATACTAGCAAAATTATTTGTGCTCATACAAATATAGAAAGATTATTACATACTCATATTAATATCAATACCAATATGAATTTACAAACATCATATTAATGTCAATATCGTTTTTGTAATGTATACTAAAGAATACATCAGAATAAGGCACAAGGAAATGAATGCATCAGATTGTTAAAAACTCAATGTTTTCATTTACCAATATGTACGGTCATAGTATTATACTAATATACTAATATTAATATATTAATATACTGAGAAACTGATATACCAATAGACCATTGTTACTAATATACCAATATACGAGTATACCCAAAATTTTTTTATGAATATATATGTTTTGTTTATATACCAATATACTGAATATACACATATGAATACTTATACACATAATGTACTAAGACTAAGTTTTTAAAGCCCAGCCCACGTCTAATATTAATACGAATACTAACACAAACACTAACACTAACACTGCTATAGACATATATTAAATTAAACTGGAGCACTAATACTCATATTAATATTAAGACTAACACTGACGTTGACACTGACACCAGCATCAGCACTAACAGGAACACTAATCAAACGAACAGTAATATTGGACAGATACCAGCAGCATTGTTAGAACTTCTAAAATTAGTAATGACACAAAACTAATAATAATGCTAACGCTAGCAAAAATATTAAGGTTACTACTCACAATAGTTGAGGTTAAAACTTAGAACAAAATTAAGTCAAGACCAATGTTAACACTGTTTTTTAAGACTGAAACTAATAATAAGACTTTGACAAGATGACAACTCATGTTAATATCAATACCAATATGAATTTACAAACATCATATTAATGTCAATATCGTTTTTGTAATGTATACTAAAGAATACATCAGAATAAGGCACAAGGAAATGAATGCATCAGATTGTTAAAAACTCAATGTTTTCATTTACCAATATGTACGGTCATAGTATTATACTAATATACTAATAAATTAATATATTAATATACTGAGAAACTGATATACCAATAGACCATTGTTACTAATATACCAATATACGAGTATACCCAAAAATTTTTTTAATGAATATATATGTTTTGTTTATATACCAATATACTGAATATACACATATGAATACTTATACACATAATGTACTAAGACTAAGTTTTTAAAGCCCAGCCCACGTCTAATATTAATACGAATACTAACACGAACACTAACACTAACACTGCTATAGACATATATTAAATTAAACTGGAGCACTAATACCCATATTAATATTAAGACTAACACTGACGTTGACACTGACACCAGCATCAGCACTAACAGGAACACTAATCAAACGAACAGTAATATTGGACAGATACCAGCAGCATTGTTAGAACTTCTAAAATTAGTAATGACACAAAACTAATAATAATGCTAACGCTAACAAAAATATTAAGGTTACTACTCACAATAGTTGAGGTTAAAACTTAGAACAAAATTAAGTCAAGACCAATGTTAACACTGTTTTTTAAGACTGAAACTAATAATAAGACTTTGACAAGATGACAATAATTAATAAAGGATGAGGCACACAAGCTGGACTCTGTCTTTTACCACTCCGACAAGACGCGCCGAGAGTGTAAATGGTGTCAATAAAAAAGGACCGTGTTTTTTACCAGTCTGTCAAGAGGCGTCGAGAGTGCAAACTTTGTACGGGAACACAAACACCATCGGTATTTACAGTGGTTTCGGCTCTTATTCATGACGCTGTGAAGACAGTAATGAGCAGGACAATGGCCGAGGTTGGTCCTGGGGGGGGGGGTTACCATATATATATATATATATATCATCAACCGTAGGTGTTGTAGCTCGGAACCCCAAACTTGAGTGATTCAGGTTCAACACCCCGACTGGCGGACTCAAACCCGGAAGCCCAAACCCTCGTTCTTGCAGCATGAGCCGTAAACCCTACTTGGAGGGTCGGGGGACTTAGTAAGTAGGTAGTAAGTAGACTTATAAGTACCCTAAAAGGGACCCTAACTGGGGTTATGGTACTTATAAGTCCCTAAAATAACCAGTTACTAAGTCCCCCGACCCTCCAAGTAGGCCCGAAGCTTCGCCCCAAATCGTGAACCCTAAACTGGACGTTGGAGTACCGTACTTTAATACTTCTTGTCTTAAGGGAACCATTATGCAATAAAAGTTTGTACTTTTTTCTCCCTGGTTACTTAAAGGCCCAGTAAATGCTAGACTCTAAACCCAAAGCCCTAAACCCTTGATGTACCTGACGTGTAAGCGGGACCTGGATATGTCACAGGCTCCCTGCTGCGAGTGGTGCTGGAAGAACCAGTGCTGCTGAAACCGTACTGGGTGGCCAGGTCCCTGGCCGGGTGTTACAATTCTTCATTATTAAGGCCCCTCTACTAATCCTTATAGTAGCCCTTTTAGTAGCCCTCTAGGCCCTGTAAGGGGGCACTATTCTAAGGGTCTCGGAATTATCCTACAGTTCTGATGAGGGTTCCTGTAGCTTCGGTTTAGGGTTTAGGGTTTCGGGTTTAGGGTTGAGGGTTCCTGTAGCTTCGTATTGTTATCCGAGTTTGCACGTTTACCTTGTGTAAAGGAAGGAAAGGTTGTAGAGGTTTGGGGAACCAGGTGCTATTGCTTGCAGACGCAGGGTTTAGGGTTTAGGGGTTTAGGGTTTACGGGTTTAGGGTTTAGGGTTTAGGGGTTTAGGGTTTAGGGTTTAGGGTTTAGGGGTTTAGGGTTTATGGTTTAGGGGTTTAGGGTTTAGGGTTTAGGGGTTTAGGGGTTTAGGGTTTAGGGGTTTAGGGTTTAGGGGTTCAGTGGGCTTGACCTTCTACTTCAAGTTTCATGCGACGGATGGTTTGGGAGTTAAATTTCTTAGTAGCTGAGTGGATACACTTTACACTTTTTGGGATCATATTAGCCACTATGAAACTAAAAGTGTACACTTTTTGGGGCTTATGAACTCAGCAACCAAGATTTGGCCTTGACAGTGTATGGAGCCTGACCAGATGTCAGACATGTCACATTCGAGGCTGGAGGGTTGGATTTTGAGGGTCGAAGGGAGCCGTAGCGGGGTTTCTCAGGCCTCTTTCCCTCTCAGGGTTTAGGGTTCTAACTCCATCTCTTCCTCCCTCTCGCTCTCTCTCTCTCTCTCTCTCTTTTTTTCTCTGTCTCTCTCTCTCTCTCGCTCTCTGTCTCTGTCTCCCTCGCTCTCTCCCTCTCTCTCCCCTCTCCGTCTCTCGCCCTGACCTCTTTCTACATGTACTATGCAGGCAGGAGCTAAGCATAGCTTCATAGCCCACTTTGCCACTTTGTGAAGCGGCCCCGTCCCCCCTGCAAGTGGTGTCGGCCTTGTGGCCTTTTTGGGGCGGCGACAGGTTTGTAGAGCTTGGTCATGTAATGAGGGATGGGGTTTAGGGTTTCGGGTTGGGGTTTGAAGGGTAAGGGCTTAGTTAGAAGTTCAATCATTCAGGGCTTCAGAGTCTGCGTGTGCGTGGGCTTTAAAGATTCACCGGTTCAGGCGGCTAGGCGTCTCGGGGTGTAGGGTTTTCAGATGCTTTAGGCATGCGCAGGCGCAACCCTAAATCCCACACGCCTGCACCACAAACCCTACACCCTATGCACCGGTAAACGCCAAACAAGCCCTCAACCGTAAACCCAAAGCACATCCTCAAACCTGAGCCCTATATATGGGAATTAAACCCTAAACCCTATACCCAGAGAGCCCAGTACCCGTTAATTAAGGAATATAGCCTAAATCATAAGATGAGCCCCCTTATAGTTTAGTTCTTAAGCTATATTCCTTAATTAAGGGGTATTGGGCTCTCTGGGTACACCCTCCACCGAAGGCTTCTGGCTTGGATCTTAGACGAGAGTTGGGCCTTAGGGCTTAGGGAAGCTCAAGGGTTGCTATGTTGCATGTGGGAAGAATGGTAGTAATGGTTTCCTTTAAAGGGATCCTTTAAGGGATCTATAGGGTTTAGGGTTATGGTTTAGGGTTTAGGGTTTTTAGGTTTATGGTTTATAGGGGTAGTTGTCAAAATTATGGCCCCTTTTTGGGTACCCTAAATATTAGGTGCCGTACTACAAAAGGGACCCAAAAAGGGACCATAATTTTGACAACAACCCATGTGATCCGTAAGGGAGGGTGGTTCAAGGTTTAGGGTTTAGGGTTTGGGGTTGTTCTTGGGCGAAGGGCACCAGGGAATTATTGTGGGTTTATTCCCACGCCAGGGCCGCCACCGTATCCCTAAAGAGCGAAGCCAACCCCTGAACCCAAACTCTACATGCTTGAAATTCAGATATCTACAACTATCCCACGACCCCCGTCGATTCTTTCTTGTGTCTACATTCCGCAAAGCCTTACCGGCAAGAACACCACGCGAATTCCCGAACCTGCAATCTTGTCCCGAAGGCTAACTAAACCGCAAACCATGAACGGTTCAGGGTTTTAAGAGCAACAAACCTCGAGATCTTGTTAAACTGTACAGCACCCGTCTAGAAGTCCCCGAAGCCCTTGCAGAACCTATACAGGCCCCAACGCCCTGAACCCTTCTGGTTTCCAGAAGAGATCAAACCAAAAAGACCTGCACGCGAAGCCTCACACCCTAATCCCCAAGCCCAACACGCTAAACCCCAAACTCCTAAGCCCTAAACCGTTACGTACTTGGAGGATCATGGGACTTAGTAAGTATGGTTATACCTTCCTTAATTGGGGTTATAAGTAGCTATATGTATAGTTACCTCAATAGTAACCCTAGTTACTAAGTCCCATGATCCTCCAAGTAGTCCCCTAAGCCCTTGACTGCGAGGTCCTGGATGCCAACCTCTTCACCTCGGACGACTGCACAGGGCCGATCAAGATGGACTGCAAGGGCTTGGGCTTTGGGTGTAGGGTTTAGGGGTTTAGGGTTCAGGGTTTAGGGTTTAGGGTTGAGGGTTTAGGGTTCAGGGTTTAGGGTTTAGGCAGTGAGGGCTTTTGTTCTTACCTTTGGTTAGTAGGCAATGGAGGAAGGGGTACAATTATGACTACTATTACTATTATTCTTCCATTCCCTACTAACCCAAGGTAAGGTGAGGGCTTCTGTTTTCTGGATGGGTTTCAGAAGGTTTGAGCTTTCGGGCTTTGGTTTAATGTTGTTTGTAAGTGTTTTTTTTTTTCAATGGTGGTTGCCAGCTTCAGGACCGTTTATGTTCTTTTGTTTGGGGTTCAGGGATTGCTTCCTGTTATGTTTCTGGAATTTGGGGAGGTTTGAGGTTTAAGCTTCGGGGTTTCATGGAACCCAGGTTTTCTTCTAAACTAAGATGCAACCTTGGCCCTAGAAGTCTATTACGTACTGTGAAAGGGAGAGTCATCCCCAGTGGGCCCCTCCTTTTGCAGGTTACAATCTAGTCTGGTAGAGATCGTCCCCACACCCCAATCCGTACACCCTATCCTGAGCCAGAAAAAACCGGTGGACGCCAACTACAAGCTAGCAACTAAGGTTTAGGATTTGGAGCTTTGGGCTAAGGTTTTATTTTCTGCGAATACAACTGCAGACGGTTCAGAGTTTTGGGCTTTCAGTATACTACTATAAAGGTTCGAAACATGGATCAAGGATGAGACATGCTCTGCTTCTATGTACTTGACTATGCTCCAATCAAACTGAGACAATAAAAATGTGAGAGCCTGACTAATTTGTAGTAGTTTTTCTAAACCCTCAAATAACCATACTGTAATCTACCTCCAAGTCCTCGATGTTGATGGTTTGGGGTTTAGGGTTCAGGATTGTATGTTTCGAAGTGGCTGCAGCGGATCTCTTATACGAACTGTCTGGCCCACAAGCAGAACGTCATGGACGGGGTCAGATAAGATACTATGGGGCCTTGAATACTAACCACAATACTATTTTTTGGGCGGGGAGGGGAATCATAGTATAAATGACACCAAAACCCTATTCTAATTGTTGAGGGCTAGCAGCCCGCAAGGTCATTGCTGAGCAGACCAAATCTAGAGCCTGGCGGTCACAGCAGTCTGTCCGAAACGAAGGGGTTTAGGGGTTTAGTGTAATTTAGGGGTTTAGGGTTTCGGTTTCGTTTTTCTATCAGCACCTTGAACCCGGGCGATAAGATCAGATGTTGAGCAAGACCCTGGAGTCCAAATCAATCTCCCGTTGCAACGCCTCAAAATCTGAACCCTGAAGTAGCGTTACCTTCAACCCTGACCTGCGAATCCCTGCACCCTGTTTCGAAGAATGGGAACCCTAACCCGAAACCCTGAACCTCTAAACCCCTTGAATCGAGAACCCACACCGGGCCTCCGTGCCCGCAGCTGGGGTTGGTTTCGAAACTGCCACGGTGGGGTAGCGAAAACATGCCTGATACACCTGCAAAGTACTAACATGCACACCAAAATTCCTTCTCTATTCCGAAGACCTTTACATTGTTCAAACGGTTTAGGGTTTAGGGGCATGTTTCCAATTCCCTTTACGGTTTGGCAGGCCCAGGCCTGCCAGAACTTGTAGGGGAAGCCCCTGATAAACGTCTTTGTGTAATTCTCACATCTTTTCTATTACCCTATCGAAGGCTGCCACGTATCAGCCAGTTGCAAGTTTGCGCTTTCCTCGAAGCCTTGCACGTAGGGTTTGGGTTTCAATCTTTGTTTTGGGCTGTTGAATTTTAACGTTTAGGGCAGTGATCGTGAACCGTAGTCGACGGTCACGGAGGTTTGCGACATCGTCGAGCAGGCAAGCGACATGCATCACCATCCTGAAGTCACCATGCTCGTGTGCCCGCAGCCCTGACGGACCAGCAGAGCCCAGCTGTTTGAACGATCTGACCTGTTGGAATTCCACCTGCACTGCTGTTCCCTCACCACATCTGGATTAGTTCCATCTCTTCACCGTGTTCCAACTACAGCCACAATCGCTAGTTAAAATGTGCTAAACAAGCAGAGGAATTTGAGCACTCGTGGGTCTGAGAAAAAACTCAACAGTCGATCAACGTGAGGACACAGGTGCATTGTAATTGCATTGCTTTATTTGATTTTTGATGTGATGCTCTACCTGTCTGAGCATGTATAGATGCCAGCCCTGAAAGTTCATCCGAACCTTGTAAACTGCTGTGGAATTGACGACGACAAAGTGTGGGTCCAAATGGAACAGCTGTTCAAAGGAGCTCAACATTGTACACTGTTACCAGCTTCCGAAGGCGCCAGACTCCAACATCTGAGAGCAGAATTTGAGCAGGGGATATCACATTGGCACAGCGGGATGAACGGACGAACCTCGTGCATTTTCACAAACACACCGACGACCAAAGTTTCAGCTTGGAGGACCGCAGAGACACCAGGCCTCGTACCAGGTAGAATTCAAGCTGCGAGCCTCTTTGCTTCCATTCTTCGTTTCGACAGGACGGCGCTGCTATCAGTTCTGGTGAGTTTGTGATAAAGCGGCTGGCCTCCAAATTCATGTGTACGGGTGATCATGCAAGAGTTTGCTGCCACTGGGTCTTGGGGTTTTGGGGTGGATCGACCGGAAATCGGAGCTTCAGGGTTTGGGCAAGCCTTTAGCAACTTTAGCACTGAGGGTTAACGTGAAGTTTTTCGCTTCAATTGTGTAGTGGTAAGTGTTTGGAACTTATGGTCTTCCGGTATGAGGGCAGAGTCGGGATGTCGGATCTCCTTTTTGCCGTCAACAGGGTTTAGATGTCAATGTTGGGGAAGGCAGAGCCTAGTGGCATGTTGGAATACGTCCCGTAAAGGCGACATCCGGCCAACCATAAGACCGTGATATCAGAACAATACACAAGGGTGGCTGTCAAAATTAGGGTCCCTCGTTGGGTCCTTATTATAATACGGCACCTAATATTTAGGGTACCCAAAAAGGGACTCTAGTTTTGACAACTATCCATATGATTCCTCCCGAAAAGAGTACCAAGATGTCGAGCCCGTTCTGTCTTCGGGAACGATTCCCTTGCTGATGTTCCATGTGTTTCGGTGGTGCTGGCGTTGATGGCGGCTTCGTAGAGGTTTACATATTCAAGCTTCAGTAGTAATATGTCCCATAAAATCTGTATGTAAGTACAAAGCAAGGTATATGATGCTTCAAAACCTTGTTCGAACTATCCAGGCCTTCATATCACAAGGCATGACCCGCCTTCGTGTTTGAGGATTTGATTTCGGGCTGCAGTCGATTCAATTTAAAATTCGAGCTGGTGCGTACCGGTACAGTTGGTTTCGCGGATTGCATGGGATGTGTGTGCTGAGGCCCGACATCCTATTGTGCGGGACTTTTGCGCATTTGTGGTTTATGGTTCAGGTTTCGCCGGGACAATATAGGGCGGTAAATGCATCTAGAAGGAATTGATCACGTCTTTCCATATTCGCCTTGTAATCATAACTACTATCAAGCACTCCAGCACCCTATTCCATTTCTGCGGGCCTTCATGCTATACTCCCCAGAACCTAATTTTGGTGCTGGCACAAGCCCTACAACGCCTTACGTTGGAGTTTGCACGCTCAAGCCTGAACTCCAAAACACCCCCTTACAGCCCCGAGCCCTAGCCCCATGAAGTGGTAATCAGCTGCCGCTCCTGTCTTTACTGTAGGGTTTTGGTTTGGAGTTTAGGGTGCGCAACAATGCTAGTCGTAGGTTTCGGATCCAACCCTCAAGGTTTGAAACAGCATCAGCTAGATCCCTGGCTCTGCAAGCCCCAACCCCCCCCCCCGGTGTCTAGAGTTTAGGGTTCAGGGTCTGGTTTCGAATGCCCCCAAGCTCAGAGTATGGAGGCCCGGAATCTTAAAAGCAAGCCGAGCTCCGAGGTACGCGAACTATCATCCGAAGCGGCTTGGGTCTACGATTTAGTGCTTGCGGTTTAGGGTTGGAGGCTTGGTGCTGGGTTTAGGGTTTAGGGTTTAGGGTTTAGGGTGCTTGCGTGACTTATAGATTTTGGCAGTCGGGCTTGGCCGGTTGACGGGACGATCCAAAATAGGTTCAGGGTTTAAGGATGTTTATCTGGCTCCAGGCTAATGCTCAAATCTCTGTGTATGAGGATGGTTATGTCTGTGTAGCATTAAAATCCCAAAGCTCTAAAACTCTAAAGCCCTACGCCCTAAACCTCTTAATCCTAAGCCCTCGGCATCGGCCCGTGCAAGGAACGCGTGGGACAAAGATCCCTCGACATCTTGGGCGTCTAAAGGCAGGTCCTTACGGTTGATGATATAAATCCTGCATTACCTTAAGGGCCCTAAACTATGGGAATTATAGTACGTATATTCCTTATTATGGGTCATGCAGGATTTATATCATCAACCGTAGCAGTGACGCATCCTGTATGGGGCTATATACAGCAGTCACAGTAGCAAAAGCCCGGAAGCTCCCTCGCCAAAGCCCCGATGAAACACCATGCAAATTCAACATCCGACGGCACCCCAAGCCCGCAAACTCCATGCCAAAGATCTTTCACGCCTAATGAAGGGCCCCCTCTCACCACCCAAATTTCCTGAATGCCTACATTTCGAACCGTTGGATCATCCCAGCTTACAGAAGAGAATGCTTCTATACAATATGAGGTCCCCACTACACCTTTGCACGTCGCTTGTGAAAGCTGGTGCTGCAGGGGTCTAAATAATTGCCTGTACTATTTTGGGAGATATACTATAAAATACACCCGAAACCCAATTCTAGTTGTTAAGGCCCCTAAATTAAAATTACTGCAAGGGGAGAGTAGCCGTTGATCTAAGCCTCCAGCCCGAAACTGTGCCTAAAATGTCCTCTAGGCACTAAAGGGAACTCCAGAAAGTTGGAATATGGTTTCAGGGTAGGATACCTTATAATTTACCATAAAGGGTTTAGGGTAATCATATTCCAACTTTCTGGCTTTTACTTTAAGCAGCAAGCGGCTAAACCCTAAACCCCTATAAACCCGACACTCTGACACCCTGAACTCTAGACACTCCAAGCTCTGCACCCCAAACACCAAGCCCCAAAACCCCAAACCCTACACCCCAAAACCCTAAACCTTGACCTCTCAAACCCCGAACCCTACACCCCAAAACCCTAAACCTTAACCTCTGAAACCTTAAACCCTAAACCCTATTCCCTAAAACCCTAAACCCTAAACCCTAAAACCCTAACACAGTAAACCCTAAACCCTAAACCCCATTCCCTTGGAGCCCAAGAGATTGTTGGAGGCGCCTGTGAAGCTGCGGGGCCCTGCTGGCTCGGTTTCAGGCGCCTAGAAGCCTTGCCGCCGCCACAATCAAAAAAGGTGGTTGTCAAAATTAGGGTCCCGTTTTGGGTCCCTATTAGAGTAAAGTCGAAAGACTCTAAACTTCGAGCTATTTGGGTGAAAATAAGGATTATAGTATTTTGTTGTATATGCTAGTTCGTTTTAGTATGCCATAGTTTATGACACTACATGAGTAGTTGTGAAAATTATGGACCCTTTTTGGGCACCCTAAATATTAGGGACGACGGCTGGAACTAAGTGTCTGCCGAGAAATATTCGCTGGGTCCCTCGCTGAATCCGTCCAATGATTATGTTGAACTTGAACCTTGATGAGCTCAAAAGGTTTTTCAGCTGATGCGGATGATGCTCGCCGGGAGATTGAAGGGCATGGAGTTGGGAGAGTGAACTCAAAAAGTTTGTCCAGCTGATGCTGAGGATGCTCGGCTGGTCTTCCACTGAATCCCTCCAATGATTGGTTGGTCACTGGAACTTCGTCGCGGGTTGAAGGGCGCGGCGATGGAAGAACGTGCTCAAAAGGTTTTCCAGCTGATGCTGATGATGCTCGCCGGGTCCTTCGTTGAATCCATCCAGTGATTGGGTTGAACTGGAACCTTGCCGCGGGTTGAAGGGTTTGGAGTTGAGAGAATGAGTTCAAAAGGCTTTCCAGCTGATGCTGATGATGCTCGTCGGGTGGTTGAAAGGGCCCGGTGTTGGGAGAGTGAGCTCAAAAAGGTTTTCCAGCTGATGCTGATGATGCTGGCCGGGTCCTTCGCTAAATCCGTCCAATGATTGGGTTGAATTGTAACCTTGCCGCGGGTTGAAGGGCCTGGAGTTGGGAGAGTGAACTCAAAAAGGGTTTCCAGCTGATGCTGATGATGCTCGTCGGGGGGTTGAAAGGGCCCGGTGTTGGGAAGGTGGACTCAAAAAGGTTTTCCAGCTGATGCTGATGATGCTCGCCGGGTCAGTGGTCAAATCCGTCCAGTGATTGGGTTGAACTGGCACTTTGCCGCGGGTTGAAGGGCCTGGAGTTGGGAGAGTGAACTCAAAAAGGATTTCCAGCTGATGCTGATGATGCTCGCCGGGTCCTTTGTTAAATCCGCCCAATGATTGGGTTGAACTGGCATTTTGCCGAGGGTTGCAGGGTTTGGAGTTGAGAGAATGAGTTCAAAAGGTTTTCCAGCTGATGCTGATGATGCTCGTCGAAAGGTTGAAAGGGCCCGGTGTTAGGAGAGTGAGCTCAAAAGGTTTTCCAGCTGATGCTGATGATGCTCGCCGGGTCCTTCGTTGAATCCATCCAGTGATTGGGTTGAACTGGAACCTTGCCGCGGGTTGAAGGGTTTGGAGTTGAGAGAATGAGTTCAACAAGGTTTTGCAGCTGATGCTGATTATGCTCGCCGGGGTGTTGTAGGGCCCGGTGTTGGGAGAGTGAGCTCAAAAAGGTTTTCCAGCTGATGCTGATGATGCTCGCCGGGTCCGTCGCTAAATCCGTTCAATGATTGGGTTGAACTGGAGCCTTGCCGCGGGTTGAAGGGCCTGGAGTTGGGAGAGTGAACTCAAAAAGGTTTTCCAGCTGATGCTGATGATGCTCGTCGGGGGGTTGAAAGGGCCCGGTGTTGGGAGGGTAAACTCAAAAAGGTTTTCCAGCTGATGCTGATGATGCTGGCCGGGTCAGTGGCTAAATCCGTCCAGTGATTGGGTTGAACTGGAACCTTGCCGCGGGTTGAAGGGCCTGGAGTTGGGAGAGTGAACTCAACAAGGATTTCCAGCTGATGCTGATGATGCTCGCCGGGTCCTTTGTAAAATCCGCCCAATGATTGGGTTGAACTGGCATTTTGCCGCGGGTTGCAGGGTTTGGAGTTGAGAGAGTGAAGTCAAAACTATTCCAGCTGATGCTGATGATGTTCATCGGGGTGTCTAATGGCCCGGTGTTGGGAGAGTGAGCTCAAAAGGTTTTCCAGCTGATGCTGATGATGCTCGCCGGGTCCTTCGTTGAATCCATCCAGTGATTGGGTTGAACTGGAACCTTGCCGCCGGTTGAAGGGTTTGGAGTTGAGAGAATGAGTTCAAAAAGGTTTTCCAGCTGATGCTGATTATGCTCGCCGGGGTGTTGAAGGGCCCGGTGTTGGGAGAGTGAGCTCAAAAAGGTTTTATAGCTGATGCTGATGATGCTCGCCGGGTCCTTTGCTAAATCTGCCCAATGATTGGGTTGAACTGGAACCTTGCCGCGGGTTGAAGGGCCTGGAGTTGGGAGAGTGAACTCAAAAAGGTTTTCCAGCTGATGCTGATGATGCTCGTCGGGGGGTTGAGAGGGCCGGGTGTTGGGAGAGTGAGCTCAAAAAGGTTTTCCAGCTGATGCTGATGATGCTGGCCGGGTCCGTCGCTAAATCCGTCCAATGATTGGGTTGAACTGGAACCTTGCCGCCGGTTGAAGGGCCTGGAGTTGGGAGAGTGAACTCAAAAAGGTTTTCCAGCTGATGCTGATGATGCTCGCCGAGGGGTTGAAAGGGCCCGGTGTTGGGAAGGTGGACTCAAAAAGGTTTTCCAGCTGATGCTGATGATGCTCGCCGGGTCAGTGGCTAAATCTGTCCAGTGATTGGGTTGAACTGGAACCTTGCCGCGAGTTGAAGGGCTTGGAGTTGGGAGAGTGAACTCAAAAAGGTTTTCCAGCTGATGCTGATGATGCTCGCCGGGTCCTTCACTAACTCCGTCCAATGATTGGGTTGAACTGGAACCTTGCCGCGGGTTGAAGGGTTTGGAGTTGGGAGAGTAAACTCAAAAAGGTTTTCCAGCTGATGCTGATGATGCTCGTCGGGGGGTTGAAAGGGCCCGGTGTTGGGAGAGTGAACTCAAAAAGGTTTTCCAGCTGATGCTTACGATTCTCGCCGGGGTGTTGAAAGGGCCCGGTGTTGGGAGGGTGAACTCAAACAGGTTTTCCAGCTGATGCTGATGATGCTCGCCTGGTCCTTTGCTAAATCCGTCCAATGATTTGGTTGAACTGGAACCTGACCGCGGGTTGAAGGGCTGGGAGTTGGGAGAGTGATGCTGATGCTGCTCGCCGGGGGTTGAAGGGCTCGGTGTTGGGAGAGTTAACGCACAATTATTTTCAGCTGATGCTAATGATGCTCGCCGGGTCCTTTGCCAAATCCGTCCGATGATTGGGTTGAATTGGAACCTTGCCGCGGGTTGAAGGGTTTGGAGTTGGGAGAGTGAGCTCAAATGTTTTCCAGCTGATGCTGATAATGCTCGCCAGGGGCCTTCGCTAAATCCACCCAATGATTGGGTTGAACTGGAACTTTGCCGCGGGTTGAAGGGCCTGGAGTTGGGAGAGTGAACTCAAAAAGGTTTTCCAGCTGATGCTGATGATGCTCGCCGGGGGGGTTGAAAGGGCCCGGTGTTGGGAGGGTGAACTCAAAAAGGTTTTCCAGCTGATGCTGATGATGCTCGCCGGGTCCTTCGCCAAATTCGTCCAATGATTGGGTTGAACTGGAACCTTGCCGCGAGTTGAAGGGCTTGGAGTTGGGAGAGTGAACTCAAAAAGGTTTTCCAGCTGATGCTGATGATGTTCGCTCCGGTGTCTAATGGCCCGGTGTTGGGAGGGTGAGCTCAAAAGGTTTGCCAGCTGATGCTGATAATGCTCGCCGGGTCCTTCACTAACTCCGTCTAAGTGATTGGGTTGAACTGGAACCTTTCCGCCGGTTGAAGGGTTTGGAGTTGGGAGTGAATTCAAAAGGGTTTTCCAGCTGATGCTGATGATGCTCGCCGGGGTGTTGAAGGACCCGGTGTTGGGAGAGTGAGCTCAAAAAGGTTTTCCGGCTGATGCTGATGATGCTCGCCGGGTCCTTCGCCACATCCGTCCAATGATTGGGTTGAACTTGAACTTTGCCGCGGGTTGAAGGGCCTGGAGTTGGGAGAGTGAACTCAAAAAGGCCTTACTGATGCTGATGACGCTCGCCGGGTCCTTCGCCAAATCCGTCCAATGATCAATGATTGGGTTGAACTTGGACCTTGTTGCGGGTTGAAGGGCCTGGAGTTGGGAGAGTGAAGTCAAAAAGGTTTTCCAGCTGATGCTGATGATGCTCGTCGGGGGGTTGAAAGGGCCCGGTGTTGGGAGAGTGAACTCAAAAAGGTTTTCCAGCTGATGCTGACGATGCTCGCCGGGGTGTTGAAACAGCCCGGTGTTGGGAGGGTGAACTCAAAAAGGTTTTCCAGCTGATGCTGATGATGCTCGCCTGGTCCTTTGCTAAATCCGCCCAATGATTTGGTTGAACTGGAACCTGACCGCGGGTTGAAGGGCTGGGAGTTGGGAGAGTGATGCTGATGCTGCTCGCCGGGGGTTGAAGGGCTCGGTGTTGGGAGAGTTAACGCAAAAATATTTTCCAGCTCATGCTAATGATGCTCGCCGGGTCCTTTGCCAAATCCGTCCGATGATTGGGTTGAACTGGAACCTTGCCGCGGATTGAAGGGTTTGGAGTTGGGAGAGTGAACTCAAAAAGGTTTTCCAGCTGATGCTGATGATGCTCGTCGGGGTGTTGAAAGGGCCCGGTGTTGGGAGAGTGAGCTCAAAAAGGTTTTTCAGCTGATGCTGATGATGCTCGCCGGGTCCTGTGCTAACTCCGTCCGATGATTGGGTTGAACTGGAACCTTGCCGCGGGTTGAAGGGTTTGGAGTTGGGAGAGTGAACTCAAAAAGGCTTTCCAGCTGATGCTGATGATGCTCGCCGGGGGATTGATGCTGATGGTGCTGGCCGGGTCCTTTGCTAAGTCCGGCCAATGATTGGGCTGAACTGGAACCTTGCCGCGGGTTGAAGGGCCCGGAGTTGGGAGAGTGAACTGGAAAAGGTTTTCCAGCCGACGCTGAGGATGCTCGCCCCGTGCTCTGTTCGCAAACTGGGGCGAATTCTTGGCTCGTATAATTTGGGGCTTGGGTTTTTTGGTTCCTGGGATGCAGTAGTACCCTTATTCCCTTTTTGTTGTCCCAGGTTCCTTATAGAGTTACCCGGTACCACAAGGGGAGCCCTTTTTATTCCTAGGTTACTGGGCATCCTGGACTTCCCTAAACCCCTAAACCCTAAACCCTAAACTTTTAAACCCCTAAGCCCTCGGTTTGGGTTTTATGGTTCAGGCGGTGGAGTGAGAACTTCTTCGACGAAACTCCCCACACCCAGGGCGTGTGACTGTCGGGTTTCAGCCCGTTTTTGAAATCTCAGCTGCCAGAAATTTCACAATGCCTGCAGACGCAGAAAAATCTTGCATTCGAAACCCGTCGATATTTCCACTTTCTTTATTCATCCCTACTCCAGCCCCTTTAACCTTAAACCTTCCTTTGAACTCTAACCCTAAGGCTCAAAATAGCCCAAAAGCTTTATATAGTATGGTCTTTGGGCCCGAAAGACTTAGAATATGAGCCCTTAGAGCCTAAGGGTAAAGCATTTTGAGAGGTTCTACACCGACCCGGGCCCGGTCCGCTGCGTCTCGCTCCTTCATCCTCCCGGGGTGCAGTACCAGGCCAGGGCCTCGTGTTGGGGACTCAGGGTTTAGGATTTAGGGTTTCGGGTTTAGGGTTTAGGATTTAGGGTTTAGGGTTTAGGGTTTCGGGTTTAGGGTTTAGGGTTTCGGGTTTAGGGTTTCGGGTTTAGGGCTTCGTGTTTGGGACCCAGGGTCTAGGATTTATAGTATAGTGCCCTTATAGATCTCTTATAGTAGCCGCAGCCCTTATAGACCCCTTCAAAGGAAACCTACTCTAACTATTTAGGCCTTTAAGGTTTTGGGTTTAGGGTTTGGGAATCAGGTTCTAGGATTCAGGGTTTTGCGTTTAGGGTTGGGACTCAGGTTCTAGGATTTAGGGCTTCGGGTTTAGGGTTTGGGTTTGAGGGTCTCCCTGTATAGGCCCGGTATAGCCTCGATAACTATGGTACCATTGAACCCCAAACACTGTTCGAGTCATACAAGTCCCATATTGTTGTCTGCTAGGTGGCAATTTGGGAAACTTTTAAATTCCATTTATGGTTCCTATAGAGGTACCATTTCAGAAATACTTTTCAGAGCCCCAAAACTGCAACCCAGTCTGGGATTCAGGAGTTCAGGGTTTAGGTTTCGGGGGTTTAGGATTTAGGGACTCAGGGTTTCTGGGGATTTAGGGGCTCAGGGTTTCTTGGTTGAGGGGTCACCCGTGAGGCAACGGTGGTGACTGGCGGTTGGCGGCTTTTTGTCACCGTGAGAGCATAGTAGTGTTTCCCTTGCTGCGTACTTTGTTAAGAACTAGTCAGACATCAATCACTAGAGTAGAGTAATGCCTTAGATATGAAACCTTTAACCTTTTGGGGTGTATATAATCCCACCATAATTGAAAGGTTGACCTTTTTTGGGCTAGGGTACTCTCATCCTCCAGGATGCTGATTCCCGTTTCGCTGCACCAGTTTGGGTTTAGGGTGTAGGGTTTAGGGTTTAGGGACTAGGGTTTAGGATTTAGGGTACCGCCCGAAATGGATCCTGAACTTGACCCCCTCGCACAAAATTCTTGCAACATAACTCCCAGCGCCCGAAGCCAGGGGTTTTCGGTTCAGGGGTTTAGGGTCTAAGGTTCCTGGTTTAGGGCTTCTTAAAGCTCGAATCGGAGCGGTCATCGTCCAGTTCAACTCACAGGCAGCAACCCTTGGCCAGATGCTACAACTTTCAGGTCAGACTTGGCCAGGGCTTAATATCGGGGTGGAAAAATAAAACCAATATTATTCCTTAGGGCCTTAGGGTTCCTTATTATGTTACTGCGTTATAAAAGGACGCAAAACCCTATTCTACTTCTTAAGGCCCCGACATTAGGGTTTGGGGTTTTGGTTGCAGTGAACTGAAGGCCTGAGATGTCCTGCGCACAGAAATGCAAAGGGGAAGCCGGAAGATAGATGACCTCCCCGTCACTTGATCATACTTTTGGCGGTGGACGTCAGTACAGTAATAGATCCAAATCCTGAAACCTCAAACCTTAAACCCTCCACCCTAAGATGTTCGGATGACTCTGCAGGCACGAAAGATTTCGGTGCAGCGGTTGGGCCGCGTCGGCTGGGAGAAGGCTTCCCTTAAGCCTCAGCACTCTTTAGGAAGTTGTAGGGGTTTTAGCACAGCCTTTCTCAGGATTTGAGGTCGTTGGAACCCGAAACCTTCTCCCAATACATTCTAAAGCTACGGGGCTCAAAGTCTTGGACTGGAGGGCTGAGACTCTCCAAGTAGGTTTGGGGTAGTAGTTATGTATATAGTGTATACGGCTTACTGTAAGGGTTGCCAGATTATAAAGGGTGACCAAGTTTATAAGGGCTAGTCTGGGGGTTACGGCAATCGCACCCTGAAGGTTAAGGGATCACATCCCCATTCATAGTAGATGAAATGCTTTCCTTAGTCCAGCCGCGAAAGATGAGTTCCTTGCGCCTCAAACCCGAAAGCTTGCAGCCACAGCAGAGGCCCAGCCAAAAAGTTTCGAGTTTAGGGTTTGGGGTTAAGCAGCAACCTTGAGACTGTAAGCCTCCAAAACGTGCTGACTTTGTGGTAATATAGGGGCCTAATACTATTTTGGAGGCTCCTTCTTATACTTAGAGTATAGTGGGCGGCAAAAACGCTGTACGAATTATTAAGGCCCCTACATTACCTTCTGAAGCTTCTCTCCTTGCCTTGTGGTTCGACAGAGGTACTGAGTCATAAACAATTTTACAGGCACAACCTTCAAATGTGCACGCGGATTTTACTACTTTGCGGTCTATTGGGCCTTGTAAGACGCAGGGCACATTGCTCTTCACCCTATCGGCTGCAGGCGGAGCCCGTCACTGTGCGCCAGGGCCACAGTTGCTCAGGTGTGAAGTCAGGGTCTTGGGGCCCAGGACCTTTTCGTTTCGGTTTAGGGTTTAGCGGTATAGGGTTTAGGGTGGAGCCTCATTGGCTCTGACTCTCCTGTGCTGTTGGGTGGTAAGGGGTAGAAACCACGCAATGATGTCGAATTGCAGAGCTGTTGGTACACAGATTTAGGTGGGCTTCTGATGATTAGTTCCGGTTTGTTTGATCAAGAGGCTAGATGGGTGGAGGGAATGTCCAAACGAGCTGCAAGCCTGCTGCGCATTCCCGAAGTCCGGCGCCCCTAACTGCAATCAGTAATCCCAGGCCCTACACCCCAAAATCCAGAGCCTTTATGCCTTAAGTCTTCACACCGGCTTGACCGCACTGAATTGAACCCGACAGAAACTTAAAACCTTAACTGAGCTTCAGGACTCTTGCCAGAAGTGAAAGATGAGCTCTGATGAGTGTCGGGTGATGTCGGGTCAGAGGCGTGGACAGCTTTGAGTTGGTTTGTGGCTGCTGTCGTAGAGTTATGCGGCGTTTCAGATTGAGTTGATACACAGGTCCGAAGAAAAAGTGTTAGAATCCCCTGCTAGTCCCTATATAACTATTACTATTACTATACTATTAAAAGACTAGAGGATAACCTAAATCCAGATAGGAACTGCTCAAGCCCATATGCTATGACGTGTTAGAGCTCTGGGATTCGTGATGAGACTGCAGGTGTTTTTATTGCGACGTAACCAATTATGTATATTTCTGCACATACTTACTCTTGTGTCTCCGTTCATGTCTGTATAGGTGTATATACAAATAAATGAACAAATCGAAAATATATACACACACAAATACACACACATATATATATATATACATATATATATATATACGCACTCCTCCAAAGGTCGGTTCCTTCAACCAAGGGGTGTCTAGTTCTCTTGGCCTACTCGAAAACCCCGAGACTCGCGACTTGCCGAGCGCTTCCGCAGCGCGAAGAGAGCAAAAAAGGCGCCGAAGGCCACTGAGCGGGAGGTGGGGTTTAAGGTTTAGGGGAGGCTACGTTTTAGGCTTGTGAATTGTGTGGGGTTCCTGGACAGGATTTACAGGGGTTCTCAGTTTAAGGCGTGCAGGGTTCAGTGCTCATCGGTTGTAGGGCTTTAGGGCTTTTCGGAGTTTTAGGGCGGTTCGGTGCTTTTGGTTGCAGGGCTGAGGGTTTAGGGGTCATTCGGAGACTCTACATACACCGTTTCAGCTGCAGTGTGCCCAAATCCAAGCCACTTTCCTGGATCGATGTCGACACCTTGTATTAAAGATTTGGGGTTCGGATCCCCACCAACTGCTTTGTATACTTTGGGGCGAGGACGTTTTTGTCTTCGGGGGTATATGTTAGGTCAGGTCTCTGTCTTCTTATTGGCCGTAAACTCAACTTTTCAATTTTTGGGGTTCTTATAAGGTAGTCGATTCTGAAAGTTTCAACTTTTGTTTCCTTGGGTTTTGGGCCAGTGAGTCTTTCGGGCTATAGGCTCGGCTCACTGAAACCTTCGGCTCGATCCCCGGACAAGGAATAGGATTCGGTACCAATTTAGGGTTTAGGGTTTAGGGTTCATTTTGGGGGGCTGTCGGGAGACTCCATGTTGCGTTTTGAACCCAAACCCCTTACTAGGGCCCTAAACCCTCAACCCGAACTAAGATTGAAATCCTGGAATCTGAGCGCACCATCGGAGACCTCTCACTTTGGGGGCCCTTCGATGCAGCGCAGGGTTTGGATGTCGGGCTCCGAACCCTAAACCCTAAACCCTAAACCCTAAACCCCTAAACCCTAAACCCTAAACCCTAAACCCTAAACCGTTGCTTGGGGTTCTTGGCGTTTCGGACGGAACTTGAGACCCGAGCCCTCAATCCCCGTGGGGTGCCTGTAGCCCCAAGCTCTAAACCCAAATAGTGGGGTATGAGCCCCAATTATTGTAGGGAGTAGCCCTTAAGCCGTCGGTTACTGCAAAACTTTCTCAATGTAAGGCGAAGTCACAAACCTTCAACCTACAGTAGTTGGCCTTAAGGTAAAGTATGCGCAATCCTAGCACCAATCAGCCTAACTCCATGTTCCAACTTTCTGGGGTTCGCTGTATACTAAATCGCTTGGGCAAGACGCTCTACACTAAGACAGCGTTTTCATATCGAAGCCTAATTTAGGGGCCTCAATTAGCTAAACTGTTTTGGGGGCTCCTCATTAAATACACCCCCAAGCCCTATCCTAATTATTCATTATTGAGGCCCCCTTACTAATCCTTGTAGTAGCCCTTATAGTAGCCCTCTAGGCCCTGTCAAGGAACACTATTCTAATTATTAAGGTCCCTGTGTTAACCCTTCGCACCGCAACCGGGCGACGCTGGCTCTGCAGAATTTGGAGGGTCGCCGTAGACGCTGATCCGGCGTGGAACTTGGCTCGTGGTCGTATTCGGTCTTTCGATGTATTCCGGGCTTAGCGTTGATTTATGGAATGACCCCTGAACCTTAAGCCCTATATAAATCCAGTTTGCTTTTTGGGTGTGGGCTCATGTAGGCTCGGGGTCTGACGGTTTGTTGAGAGGTCTGTGGGTTAGGCATAGGCATCTTCGAGTAAGTTCGGCAGAAGTGATGAATATACTAGTACATCTAAACATTAGCAGGTATCTCTTAGTGTGTGTTAGCTCCTAAGTCGCGTGAAGTCCATCATGTGCAGAACGGTTGACAAGACAGCAAGTCGCTGGAATAGTAGTAATGCTGCGGTGCTGCTGTTCTTTTGGCAGAAGTATCATCCCCATCATAACCCTACCCCCAACCCCGCAAGCCCGAAACCTAAGCGCCCCTAAATCCCCAAACCCTAGGCTTCACTTCTCGATCGCCTGCAACCCAAACCCCCATGAACATTGAATAAATACTTCTTCGGATCAGAGCCGTTTATGGCATTCTCTTTGGGGCCAAAAGCCGTTTGAATGCGTCCGCAGAGCCGTAGAGTTCGGGTCCCGACTGAAGGGTTCAGGTTTGATCTACAAAGCCGCAGACTCTAAACCCAAAAACCCTGAACCTTAAACCCTAAACCCGATGCCCTGAACCCTAAACCCTAAACTTGGACGGCCTCACAGGCCTGCTCCCCCGATGGCCGACAAAAGGAAGGGCGATGAGAATACCTACGTCATCCATCCTGAGCTGCGAGCTCGGTGAGGGGTTGTGGAGTTGAAATTCCACGAGCCCTAATCCCTCAACCTTTAACTATCCCTTGTAGCTCTAAACCCGGTTCTAAATAAGTAATCCAGCACTGTCGGTCTGGACCCACGCTATTTTCCTCAACACGACACGCCAACAACCCACTATTCTGAACGCTAAACTACACTAGCGCGCTTCGTTCGTGTTGGGAGATTTCGTGGGTTCTTTTAGTCTAGATCTCGGAGCCTCAAACATGAGCAAATGTCGGTAGCATTAAATTTCGCAAGTACTTTAACTCTCGTGTTTGCCATTACGTACCGTCATTTGCTACTGTTTTGCCTTTGTTATTAGTTGCTACCCTGAGTTCTTCTTCCTCTCAGCAAGGTTCATCATGATGATGCACATAATCTTAGTAAAAGTACTGTTCATGATGATGATGATGATGATGATGGTGACGATGAGCATGGTGACGATGCTGATGCAGATGATCTTCATCATCATGGCGATGTCGATGTTGACTGGCTCAACATGTTTTGATTTCTTGTCCGGGATGTTAGAGCAAGGCTCTACAGAGGTCTGATATGCCTATGCGGATGTTATCCGCAAGGATTGCCTTGGATAAGGATCCGTCCTGAATCCCGATGTTGGTCCTCACAGTGGGTGGCAAAGTCCGTGGCAAAGGAGAATTCCTTAAGTTGTACTAGGGCTCTGCAGTGAGGCGGCTTCCGTCGAGGGATACGTAGCTTTCCGGGTGGTGGCAGAGGCCTAAATCCTAAATAGTTTTACCAGAATTTCCGGCGAGAGGATGTTCGAGGGATCTTGTTGATCGCGGTGAACCATACCATTGCGGGGTCTCGCGTCCTGTTGGAAGTCCCGTTACTGTACATGTACGCAGTTTTGATGATGGGTGCGTCGAGCTGCCTATAGCCCACTTGGATGCCAGCCGCTAACCCCTGAATGCCGAAACCGTAACTAACTACTCTTCTAAACCCGAACGCCTCACCGAAACCCCAAGCGCCGAGGTACAAGAATAAGTTCCGACCCGGCCCCACCCGCGAGATCATCAGGGCTGCCACCTCAGCTTCAATGCTTTGAGGCTTCGGTCGTGTAGGTGTGCTGTTACAGGGATTAAGGTTCTAGGATGCCCATTAGTACCCATATTCCCTTTTCGTAGTCCTAGGTTCCAAATACAGGTACCCAATACCAAAAAAGGAAGCCCTTTTTTATTCCTAGGTTACTGGGCATCCTAGGGTTTGTTGAAGCTGTCGAGGGGGGGGGGCGAGTTAGGGTTGAAGCCTCTTCACCAGCGACTTGGCGGACTGCCTTGCGTTTTGAGCCGTGGGCAGGGTTTACAGTAAACCCCATAAATTTGGAAGCCGAATCAATGCCAAACAGTGCTGGGATTCCCTCTACATGACTTCAGGGTTGAGTCCGTTGGGTTGCCAACTTTTTGGGGCTTCTACTGCAGAGTAGGTTTGGATTTCAGGCTCAGGATTTGAGAATATTGGAGAGATGTGCCGTATCACGTAGCTAGATAACAGAGCCGGAGTAGCGAGTCTTGTGTCGTTCCATCCACTTGTGTTTCGGGCCAGGGCTTCAAACCCAATACTAACCGTAAGGCTTACATCCTAAACCCCAAATATCCCAAACCTCAAGAAGGGTGTGGAGCAGTATGCAGGATCTGTTGTCGAGCATGGTTCTTTCTGCCCCTTTCCACACGAACCGAAACCCCATAGCCTCTGCTCACATTTGTCATGTCAAGCTGCTGAGTTGCAGCCCGCTCTGCTGGTGCAAGCTTCAGGGTTCAGAGCCTGAACTTCGAAACAAACCCTAAATCCTAAAAAATCCCTAAACCCTAAACCCTAAACTCTTAAACCGTACCAGACTTGCTTCTCTGAGCCCCATGCCGAGGATGTGCTGCAAAGCAAGCTGGACAAGGCTCGATCCAGCTGGGTAGGGTTTAGGGGTTTAGGGTTTAGGGGTTTAGGCTTAGGGTTTAGGGTTTTAGGGGTTTAGGTTTAGGGGTTTAGGGTTTAGGGGTGGTATTTGTCAAAATTATGGTGCCTTCTTGGGTACCCTAAATAATAGGTGCCGTATTATAAGAAGGGACCCAACAAGGGACCATAATTTTGACAACCACCCAGCTATCGACATTCGCAGGTTTAGCGGAGGGGCCTTTGGATGCAGTAGTTGTCCACATAGAATCAATTAGCCGGCAGCCGGCCAAATTTCGCATTGTTACATTCCCCCCAAAGCTCTGCACGAATTGTTGATGCCCCTACATTCTGTCTTCAATGTTGGATCATGCTTTCCGCTTCCTAGGCATTACTTGGCTTTGCTTCGGGGAATCACCATGCCGTGAACTGATGAGGATCGGGGCCTGCACCTGTATTGTCAGTATGGGGTATGGGGGCTTGAATAATTACCATGCAATGATATTGTTGGGGTTCCTATTGTAAGTATAGTACAATGGGCCCCAAAACCCTAGTCTAATTGTTAAGGCCCCTACATTAGACGCCCCGAGCCATCATCCTGCAAAGCCCTCCCCTTCGTGCTCTGGGGAGTTGTTTATGATAGAAAGTTCCAAGGGATTACTAAAGATACTGTTGTTTATTATGGTTCTACAGTAGAAGCCAGAAAGTTGGAGCATGACTATCCTCATGCCCCTAGTATAAAGTAGAAGGGATCCTAGCACTAATCATCCTAAATCCATGTTCCAACTTTCCGGCGTCCACAGTAAGTGTGCTAAAGCTGAACCCCAAGCTCCCAAACTGAATCGCGACCGGACACCATAAGCCACCAGAGGGATCTGAAAAATTGCACTGGGGCCGGTAACCCTAAACCCTAAACCCCAAAACCTTAAACCCTAAACCCAAAACCTGTGCTTCTGCTACACAGCTGCAAGGCCAAAGTGCGGTTTTAGGATACTGGAAAATCAAGGGCATCAGGCATAGCTGACGGGCACATGGCTCGCTACTTAGGCTCTACAAGTTTAGGAATTTTGATTTTAGGTAGGGATTTCCAGCCGCCCGATGTCGCCAGATCCTGCAGCTGCCAAAAACCTTGGTACTGTTGGGATCTGGCCGCAGTGTTTGCGGATTAGGCTGTATGGCCCAGCGGTTTCGAGGTTTCTTTTCCCTTAACTTCCTGTCGGGAGCGTGGAGAAGTCCGGAATGCTTGTAGAAGAACCATAAACCCCTACCTAGAGGCTCCAAAGCAGTTCCACCACGAAGAACATTTCTTGTTTTCTCAAGAAAGGGGAGTTTCCGAAAATTAGGGGTACCGTATATTGGGGTCCTTATAATAAGGATTCTAGCATTTGGTATGCTATATTAGGGTCCCCTATTTACGGAAACTCCCAAATCGCCCAGTAGTTCAAGGGCCATAGCTTCAACTTCCTGAAGCTAAGCCCTCAAGCCTAAACCCTTCCACTTCGAACCCCCCAGGCGATCCAAGACAAACCTTTTTACTTGTACCATCGCCCTATAGACACCGGCACCTGAAACCACCCCGAATTCCAGATGCCTAAAGCACCAAAACCAGTTTCACTAAACCCCAAACTTCAAAACCTTCAAGCCCCCAACATTACGACAAACACCCGAAAGCCCCAAGTCCCAAACGTCAGCCCGTTGGCCGTTCCCTCAACTCGCCAATCCAAACCCGCGCACACTCCAAAACCTGAAGCATCCTGAATCCCTACACCTTTAAAGCCCTATCTCCTAAACTCCACAACTCCAAACCCCGAACCCGAAACTCCAAACCCCTAAACTCAAAACCCTAAACTCTAAAACCCCCAAACTCAAAACCGCGAAACCCTAAACTCCAGAAGCCCTTCCCTTGGAACAGCGGCCTCAAAGCCCATCCGAAACCCGGGGCCTTGAAATCTCAGGGCTCGAAGCTCTCAGATTTTTGTGGGTTCTTGATCCCCGGTTCGGTTTGGGGTTGGGGGTTTAGGAGTTCTATGAAGAGTTCTGTGGTGCCGTAGGGGTCTATGAGGGCCGTGGCCTGTCCTTGGGCCCGTAAGATCTCGAAGCAACATCCCCCGAGCCCTGCTCCCTGAGCCAGGCAACTTATAGCATGGAGACAACTCAGCTGCTGACGAAGCAGGCGCTCAAACCCTAAAGCCCAAAGCCTTGCCACTTTGAAGGTCAGATGTCGGGCTCTGTCAGATAAGAGCCAGGAAGCAGGGTTTAGGGTTTAGGGTTACACAGGGGCATATTATAGGCCAGTCCTGTAAACTCCAGATCAGAAGCCCTATGACCCGTCCAGCATGGAAGCGGTCGTGAGTTTGATTAGTAGCTTTGTCTGGCTAGGGCTCCGGCCGAACATCATTAGGAGGCCGACGCCACATCCAGTGCAGGGTTTCATGAACAACCGTGCTCATGTCTGTTTGAATGTGTGTGTGTGTGTGTGTGTGTCTGTGTGTGTGTGTCTGTGTATGTGTGTGTGTGTGTGTGTGTGTGTGTGTTTGTGTGTGTGTGTGTGTGTGTGTTTGTGTTTGTGTTTGTGTGTGTTTGTGTTTGTGTGTGTGTGTGTAGGGTTTAGGGTTTAGGGTTTTAGGGTTTAGGGTTTAGGGTTTAGGGTTCAGGGTTTAGGGTTTAGGGTTTAGGGGTGTGTGTGTGTGTGTGTGTGTGTGGGGGGGGGGGGGGGGGGGGGGGGGGGGGGGGGGGTGTTGGGGTTTCGGGGGAGCGTGCCCAATCGTGGATCCAAACCAGGGTCAAAGGAGCTATTTAAGACAAACTGGTGTTTGTTTTGGAGGTCATAATGTTCACGAGGGCTACATAGACAAGTATATTATACATAACATCTAACTGCTACAGAGTGGCCCGAACCCCAATGTGACCCTAAGCGGATTCTTTCACCCAAAACGAAAATCTCTAAAAGCGGGAGGTCGCAGACGACATCAAGGACCGGCTAAAGGAGCTCAACTTGCCGCGGTACAAGATCGTAGTCCAGGTACGCTCCCGCCAGTGCGGTTAGGCTTTAGGGCCCTGCACCCAGTAATAAGCGTAGGCCCCAAACCCTCAAACCCTAAGCCCCCTAAACCGCTAAGCCCTATACTGAAACTAAACCCCGAACCCTTTTACTCTAAACTTAAAAGGTCAGAAGGCATGCTCAAGGAGGGACAGCAGTTGGGAACAGGGGCCAACCAGACCCTGGATCCCAGGCCTTACAGGGTTTAGGGGTTTAGGGTTTAGGGGTTTAGGGGTTTAGGGTTTACGGGTTTAGGGGTTTAGGGTTTAGGGTTTAGGGGTTTAGGGTTTAGGGGTTTTAAGGGTATTTAGGGTTTAGGGTTTAGGGTTTAGGGTTTAGGGGTTTAGGGGTTTAGGGTTTAGGGGTTTTAAGGGTATTTAGGGTTTTAGGGTTTAGGGCCCAGAACCAGAAGCTCTGAGGTTAAGAAGCCCCGCATGTTTCGACTCTCCGGCAGAGCCGAAACAACTGGGTTGAGGTTCCAAGTGCCCTGTAGGCTGCAGACTTAAGGTCTAAGAGATTATGGCTTTACAAATAACCTACAAAAAAGTAGGGTCCCTTAACCTGGGTTTGGAGTACCATACTTGAATACTTTTGTTGGTGCCTGTTCCTTAAAGGAACCATTATGAGATAAAAGTCTATACTTTTTTCTCCCTGGTTACTTCAAAGTATAGTTAAGGTCGAGTTTATGGCTGCAGGGTTTGAGGCTTAGGGTAGGGCTTCGGGCTTTACGGCTCAGGGTAGGGGGTTTGATGCAGCAGGCCAAAATCGTAAAGCCTAACCATGCGCAACCGCAAATCATGAGTCCTGTGCCCGAGTGACCCCCAGATCCCAATGCCCTTAAATTCAGGGCATATTGGCAGCTCCAATTTGGCTCCAATCCATGTCATCGGACATCATGCAAACTAACCTTTCTCTTGTGAGGAGGATGAGGAAGACTGCGGTGCTGAGTACTGAGTACTGTTTGGCCGTGACAGTGGTATTAGGCTGAGGCTCAAAGATGGCAAGTCAGTGCCGCAGCTTTAACATAAGGGATTCGAAACTTAGAATAGGGTTGTCGGGGCCCATTACGTATACTATAGTTATAATAAGGAACTCCCAAAATAGTATAGGTAATTATTAAGGCCCCTGTATTATTTCGTCCCAGCTGGCCCCCTAAGCCCTAAGCCGGTAAGTAGAGCACGAGAGGTCTCCATCGGCGAGCAGAAGGGCCAAGGAGTCCGCATGGGAACGCCGTGGCCTCAGAGGGTCGGCTGCTGCCCCGAATGACTTTGTTAGGGTTTAGGGTTTGAGTTTAGAGCTTAAGGGTAACTCGTTCAAACTCGGTTTGATACGGGTACTGCGAGGGTGAAAATCCCCTACCTCCGGAAGCCGGTTGAAGGAGCCCTGTGAGAATTCGCGGACCAAGCTTAGCTTCGGAGTTTCCGAAACCCTGACAACACCAACCATTGTGGGGTTTCCTTATTATAAGTATAGTACCCCCACATAGTAGCCCCTATAGACCCCTTTAAGGGAACCCAATTCTTACTATTAAGGCCCCTACATTACCCTGCCAGAAGTCTTTCGAAAGCGGCACAACATCCTGATCCCGGAACCTTAGGGTTGAGGGGTTTGGGGTTCTCATTGGGGTTAAAGGTTAGGGGTTAAGGGTTTAGGGCTCTCATTGGGCTTAAAGGTTAGGGGTTAGGGGTTTGGGGTTCTCATTGGGGTTAAAGGTTAGGGGTTAAGGGTTTAGGGCTCTCATTGGGGTTAAAGGTTAGGGGTTAGGGGTTTGGGGTTCTCATTGGGGTTAAAGGTTAGGGGTTAAGGGTTTAGGGCTCTCATTGGGGTTAAAGGTTAGGGGTTAAGGGTTTAGGGTTCTCATTGGGGTTAAAGGTTAGGGGTTAAGGGTTTAGGGCTCTCATTGGGGTTAAAGGTTAGGGGTTAAGCGGGTTAAGGGTTTAGGGTTCTCATTGGGGTTAAATGTTAGCGATGAAGGGTTTGGGGTTCTCATTGGGGTTTAAAGGTTAGGGGTTAGGGGTTTGGGGTTCTCTTCATTGGCCCGTGCTTGGCCGATGCGAGGCGGTGTTTCTGGGATGGCGACACAGACAGCTACGCCTCAGAGATGTGCCCAGCAGGGTTTAGGGGTTAAGGATTTTGCGGTTCATGGGGGTCTAGGTTTAGGGTTTGGAACTTAGCGACGGGTTCAGGATCCAGGGGTTCAGGGTGTAGAAGAATTTCGGATTTGTGTGTTAGGATCTGGCAGTCAAGGTTGGGGTTGGATTGAAGGTTGGGGGGTTGAGGGTTTGCAACAAGGCTCGGGCGATAGTAACTTTGGTGCTGACAGCAGCGCAATATTTGGTGAATTGCTGGCCATAGCGACATCGAGTGCCTTTGCAAGGCACTCCAGCAGCAGAAGACGGGGGCAAAACGCAGAGGTTGAAGAATCAAATCCGCTTTCTACCTGTAGTCTCCATTGTAGTTCCTTTTTTTAGTTAACCAAAGCCTCTATTATAGGGTCCTAACCATAAAATTGGATAACCAAAAAAAGGAACTGCAATGGAGACTATAGGTAGGACGTTTTGAAGGCGGTTGTCGAAGCCTACCGTGTCCGAGTCTAGGGCCTGTCTAGGGCTTCCGTTTATTTGGGTTTAGGGTTTAGGGTTTAGGGTTGGGTCTAACCGGGGTGGAGGGTTCGTAGTTGTCCATTACATGAGCTGCTGCTTGCTCTATCGACTGTATCTACCGTGTGCTACATGGTGCAAGTGTGCGCAGTGTGTGTTGAACATTCTACATACAAAGTAGACAGGCGATTACGCTGATCTGTGCTAGTGAGCTATAGTGAGCTAGTGCTATGTATCATGCAGGTTTCTGGAGGCTTGTGTCTTCAACAGGGACCCAAAACAGCACACAATCATAAGGATACCATATTATTGGTTAAAGCCCCGTAGCTGTCGTCCGAGGTTGAGTAACTGTTTGGGCAGCCACCCCCCCAAATGCGGGGCTGCTCAGTGCAGGGTTTAGGGCCTGTCCCTCTTCAGCAAGCAATGGAGAGGTACTGCAACGAAAGCCTCTTTTGCGTCGCAACGGCATACGGAGCGCCTTTGGCACAAATGTTTTTGTGCATTTCGGTGGAGCCACAGCTCGTTGCGTGACTGACCGGGTTCTACATGAACTGAAAAACTAGACCCTGTGGTTGGAACTTGACAGAGCCCAATGCTAAACCCTTGACCCAAGACTCCAGGCTTTGCAGCTCTAAACACCATGCTGGTATAAGTTTGAGCTCTAAGCTTCTAGATGGGAGTTTCCGAAAATAGGGGATCCTAATATATGGGTGGTTGTCAAAATTATGACCCCTTTTGGGATACACCGAAATATTAGGTGCCGTACTATATTAGGGACCCAAGAAGGGACCCTAACTTTGTCAACCGCCCATATAGCACCCTGAATAGTAGGATCCTTATTATAAGGACCCCCAGATAAGGCACCCCTAACTTTCAGAAACTCTGAACCCTAAACCCTTTATCCTTATAGATCCCTTTATAGGAACCCATTAAAGGATCCCTTTAAAATCGAACTTTCGGAAACTCCCAGATGGCCCTCTGAAGCCGCAAAGCAGAAGCAAGGATGCAGTTAGGATCCCCAAGGGCCCAGAGGCTCCATATATAGAACCATTATGGAATGAGGGCCCAAAAGACTATCCATATCATGGCTTTGGGGACCTAGTTCCATAATGGTATTATATTTGGAGCCTCTAGGAAAGGGCCCAAAGTGTCCGAACTTCGTTGGGTGTGCTATTAGGAACCTTCCTAAATCCTCCAACTGCTTACCAAAAGGGTCCTAAGTACCTATATAGTAGAATCTCGGGTTTCTATGCTAGGAAGATTTGGGCAAGTATCCCACAAAACAGTACCTAGGACCTTCTGGGGATTAAGAACCGACTCACAAGTCTGGAAGCCCGATGCACCATGTTATACCTTGAGTCTAGGGTTTCGGGCCGTTTGATTTTAGGGTTTCGGGCCGTTTATGGGTTTAGGGTTTTGGGTTTGGGGGTTTAGGGGTAAGCTTAGGGGTTCAGGGATTAGGGATCTGAGGCCTAAACCCCCGCAGCCCTAAACCCCCCAAGACACTCAAAGGCTTGGCCCCACAAGCTCCAGAGTCCCTCGACCCGAAACCCCTAAACCCTAATCCTAATCCTTAAACCCGAAACCCTGAAACCTAAACCGTAAGTTCTAAACCCTAAGCCCTACACCTGAGCCCTAGCCTACCGGCCTCCTAAAGCCCGAAACTCCTGACCAGTGGACGACCTCCAGGGGCCCGGCATGGTGGTGCAAAAAAAAGGATAGGGTCTAGGGTTCAGGGTTTAGGGTTTAGGGGTTTTGGGTTCAGGAGTTTAGGGTTTAAAGATACCTTAGAGTTTCGGTATGATGTTCTTCCCCCCCTCCCCCAAACCGGAAGGCCAACGCCCCAAACACCAGGGCCCTAAATCGCAGCCGCTGAGGTGTACCTGTACTGACTCGGTCAGTGGCGGGGAGCACAGACGGTTCTTGTGCGGTTGTTGTTGGGGAAGCGGTTGTAACACAAGAAGCCGGAATAAGTACTACCAACGCACAACTTAGGGTTCCTAAAGTTGCACAGTCTAAAATACCTCAAAATTCTATTCTAATCACTTATGCCCTTATATTAGATTAGGCACACCCTAAACCCTGAACCCCATGAATGCCCTTCCTTGGCAGACTGTGCACGGTTTAGGGTTTAGGGTTGAGGGTGAGAAAACACTACATGTCGGTGCTAGTCTTCGGTTGTGGGCCCGATGTTTCGTCCGGTGCTTCAGATTCTCGAGGAACTGAGTTTCTGGATCCCTAAACCCTAAACCTTACGTTGGTGTTTGATCCAGAATAGTTAGGGTTTAGGGTTTAGGGACTGAGGAAGGCTCTGCCCTAGAGCTTCGCTGCCGGCATACACTCCAAAAGGGTTTCTAGATCAAATACCAGCTTCTGTTAGGATGTTGACATAGGTGCTCGATTTTGATGGATAGGGATTCAGGGATGTTCAGGGTCCAGGAGCTTGTTGATCCCCTAAACCCAAACTCTCTACCCTCAACCCCGGAGCTCGAACCCTGGCCGAGGGCTCTGCAGGGCATCACCGTCCCTGAGATCCGGTCACTCGCACGTTTCACAATGTCCGGAAACAAGGATTTCGTCTTGAAGCTTACTCATTCAGCATCCCGGACACCTGCAACCCCAAAATCCAAGCCCTAAACCATCCAATGATGCTTGGACCGATGTGTATCATCTCGTCTCTGCTGTAGAAAGCCCACGGCCCTCTCATCCCTTTCGCTCCCATCACCCCGGGTTTAAGCTGTATACTTGGAGGATCCTGGGATTTAGTAAGTATGGTTATAAGTACCTTAATTGGGGTTATAAGTAGTTATAAGTATAGTTACCTTAATAGTAACCCTAGTTGCTAAGCCCCATGATCCTTCAAGTAGGGTTGACGATTCAGGGTCTTCAGGGTGTGTAGGGCTTCCCAGCGCGGCAATCTGCACGAAGCGCACTGTTTGCAGCCAGTGGCAATCAGCCACGCCGATTATCGTACTTTGCATGACCAACCTCGCCCAAAAGGAGATGTCCCCAGTGCCCAATTTAAGGTTCAGGGAGAGAGTTGAGTTTCGGATCCGCGTTGAGTGCTTGTCGATCCCTCGAGAATCCTTCTTCAAGTTCAGTTCTGGGCAATTTTGGCGTTGCTAGTCGGGATCAGCAGCCCGTGCAGTTTAAGGGTGTACAGGGTATATGGAGTTTGGACCCTACGGCAGTTGCGTTTGTGCTGGCCACTTTTCTATTGAGCATATGGAGGCTTGTGATTGAGTCATATAAATTGCTGGGCACTGGCTAAGGTAGATCATTATGGGCTTAACGTCTGGGTTCCAATGAACATAATCCTTTCGAAGGGTGGGCGGTGTCCTACACCCCGTGCAAAGCCGATGTAGAGGCTCTATAGAATGCTTAGACGAAATCCTTACAGAATTTATTAGAACCCTTTAAGAACCTTTATGCTGACCCGCCAAAGCCCTGTCAAACCCCAAACGCCCTAGAGAACCCTTGAAAGCCGTTACAAAACCTCAAGACCCTAAACCCTGAAGCCTAAGCCCCAAACCCTGAACCCTGACACCCCCCGAAAAAACCTGACAAACCCTAAACCCTAAACCCTAAACCCTAAACCCTTTACTTAGAGTTAGGATCCCAGGACGCCTCAGATAGCGTTCTGAGTGCTTCGACTGGGGGGGCTTTCGGAGGCTTGGGGGGCACACAGTAACCCTCAGGGCCTAAGGAATATGCGAACATATGGGAGTTTCCGAAAATTACGGGTACCTTATTTTGGGGTCCTTTATAATAAGGATCCTGCGGTTTAGGGTACTATATTACGGCCCCCTATTTTCAAAAACTCCCATGTACCAGTTATATACTCAGGTCCTTGCGCTAAAAACTGCACAGACGGGTTCCTGGGTTTCTCCGACTCCGGGTGCTGGTAGCCTGATAGGAGCATGGCTTCACCGAACTTTAGCGAGGTGAAATGCGGGTTCCCTGTCACGCCATGGCGCCCGGACCATGGACTTAACTCGGAACCCTGGCATGAGAAACCGTGCCTCGAGTGTGTTGAAACCTCGACGCCCAAGTCAAACCTAGAAGCCACGCCCCGAAAAATGCAACATTAAACCGAAACCTTGGGCCTAAGGGTTCCTTTAAAGGGGTCTATAGAAGGGTTGCTATAAGGGATCTATAAGGGTACTATAATAATATGTAGGAAGCTGATTAAGAAACCTTGGGCCTTTGTTAGGGTTCCGTATATGAAGCCCGCTATTTTGGGGTGCTAGGCCCAGGGTTCCTTAATCAGGTTCCCATTAGTGATGAGTCAGCCAAAACAAACACTTTGCACCCCGACTCGAATCTCACTGCAGCCCGCCGCAGCCACGCCGGACAGAGGATCAGAACGCCCCTGAAGGGTTTCGCGTTCATTGCATAACAGAGGCGTCGGTTCAACTGGTTCAATGAGTGCTGCAGGCAGGGTTTTGCAGGTTTAGGGTTTAGGGTCCCCGCCTCTGATCCGGCTCGTGTTTTCCACTCCCCCCCCTGTCTTTCCAATGCAGATCCTGGGTCTTAAATCCTGAAGCCCGCAAACCTCCCAGAACCCTACACCCTAAATGCTAAGCCACAAATCCCAAATTCCCGAAGGACGAGACGCGTCAGCCCCCCACCCACACTTCCTTTCCAACTTCTAGGACCCATCTCCCAACCCTAGATGCCCCTACTGGTAGGGTTTTTAGGGTCATAACCCCTAAAGCCTTTAAATCCCCAAGATATTTGGCGGCATTAGGCCATTTGCTTTAGGGTGTAGGGTTAAGAGATCCCAAAGCCTTTGACGCCATTTTCACCCTGCGCTGGGGCCTTGAAACATGGAGGCGGGAGCGTGTGTGAGGCAATCTGAAGCATGACCCTAAGGGTCCATGTACCTAGATAGGGTTCCTATAAGGGTTCCTTTAAAGGGATCTATAAGGGATCCATAAGGGTATAGGGCATAAGGGTCCATGTACCCAAATAGTAGATACTTTGGCCTTAAAGTAGTCTGCAAAAAGGTACTTTGGGGCCTAAGTATATACTATTTGGGTACATGGACCCTTAGGGTAACATTGCCCCCAAGCCCCAGACCGCGGAAGTTTGAGATCACCGACCTGACACCCGAAACCCCAAACCCCAAACCTACGAGACCCCCCAACTGACTTGTGCCGTAACCTGCAAAGACCTCTTCATGGTCTCAGGTTTAGGGTTTAGGGAAGCCTTTTAAAAGGGTTCTTCGGAGTGTCGGGGTAAACCACTCAACTCTAGAATTTTCAAACCTGAGCTCTAATTTTGGCTGTGGCGACTGAGCACTGGACCGAACGATGGCTTGTAAACGGCTTAATATTGTTCCTCTGTCCCACGAAGGTTTCCTATACGGGTTCCTTTAAGCGTGTTTGGCTTGTCCGTGTGGGGACGTCAGTCTTCGGACAAGCTTCTCAGGGTTTCAGCGTTTTGGCGTTTTCGGTGTAGGATGCAATGTTTTAGGGGTGATTGTGTTAGGGATGGCCTCATGTTCTCGGTGGCAGAGGACTGGAAGTTCCTATCTAACGCAATGTTTCGGTTAAGTGGATGTCTTGCTAGGACCCTACAATGGAAACAAGGTAGCCAAGAAATGGAGGTGCAATGGTGACATGTGGCATGATTCGCCAACGCAGTCCAATGCTCGCCTGAGTCAGCAGACTCGGCAAGAATCGCCGCAATGGTCAGTAGCTGGGAGGCGGTTTTCCTCGTGGTGTCCTAAACCTTATACATCCTATGGACTAACGTTCAGAATGCGCATCTCCAATGGCGCCAGGGGCTGGCTCTGTGCATTTGATGTTCATGTCTGATTCGGGGGCCCCAAAGATCTTGCCGCACAAGGAAAAGGCAGGGACACGCTTCAGGCATACATAGCCAATCCCAAGATTCCTCGGGGAGGAAACATTACTACTTCTACTCCGTCCTTCGGGTGTACTCTAAAGCCCCCACAATTGTCCCGACTAAACCCTAAACCCTAAACTCTATGGTGCAAGTACCTAGTAATCATATACTCTGCCAAATAGTAACTTACATAACTAGTATCCGAAACCTAAGTACCTTACTATTGGGTCCTTTGAACCCTTGGGGTAACCCTCAGGCCTCCTGCAGCCCCAAAACCCGAAACCCCTAAGCCCTAAACCTAATTCCCTAAACCCTGTACCCCTAAACCCGAAACCCTGATTCCCCAAAACCCTAAACCCCCAAACCCTAAACCCCCAAAGCCTAAACCCCAAAACCCTAAACCCCCAAACCCGAAACCCCCAAACCGTAAACCCCAAAACCCTAAACCCCCAAACCCGAAACCCCCAAACCCTAAACCCCAAAACCCTAAAACCCCAAACCCGAAACCCCCAAACCCTAAACCCCAAAACCCTAAAACCCCAAACCCGAAACCCCTAAACCCTAAGCTCTTCCCCCATAGGTTTTCCCAAGAAGGCCTGACCTCGAATTGCCAGGCCCGGCTACCCTTCATTGACTGGGAGGAGCTGAAGCAGCCCCTAGCCACGGGATTGTAGACTAACCATTGATATTGAAGGAGCTAAGGAGCCAGGGATGATGATAATCCCTATTGCATAAGGAGCCAAAGAGCCAAGGGAACCCCAAAACCACGGGATAGTAGAGCTTAAGGTTCAGGGTTTAGGGTTTGAGGCTTACCTTAAGCCGGAATAACCTACCTTTTTAAGGACTTATATAAGGAAATCATAATAGGGAACCCTAAAAGGGTAGGTTCTTCAGGGTTAAGGTAGGGCTTCGGGTTTATATGCGGGCTTGGGGAACCCTAAGGATAGCAGTGCTGGGAGCAGCTGGAGCTTCCCTTCGGCCAGGGGTTCATACAGCGGGTCTAGGGTTTAGGGTCAGGACAGAACGCGGTTTTGCGGGT